ACGTTTTTTACTTGGTGAATTAAGGCATTTTGGGTGGCTAATTGGAGGGCTTGGGGGTTGATATCAGTGGCAAGGAACTGCCAATCCGGCTTAATTTTAGCCAAGGAAATGGCAATGTTACCACAGCCGGTCCCAATATCTAGCACCCGTAATTTTTTCTTTTTTCATTTTTTCTCGGCCAACTCCAACAACTTTTCTAATAGCACTTCTGTGTCCTTTTGGGGAATGAAAACGCCTTTTTTTATCCGAAAAAATGATTGATAAAAATTAACTTTCTGAGTCAAATAAGGAACCGGATAGTTTTCGTGGTGATATTTAATTATTTTTTGACAAAAATTTAAATATTCGCGTTCGGTTAAGAATTGGTGGGTAAAATGGCCCCAAAATTCTTCCGGCGAAGTTTGGCAAAGGCCAATTAAATTGCGAGTTAATTCGTCTTTTGAATCTAGCCTTCTCAACAAAGAAGCATAATTTCAACAGTCCTGATATGAATAAGTCACGAAAGTTTAATAATTTATTTTATCAATGAACTCAACTTCATCCTAAAAAAAACATTTGGCAAGAAAAAAAGAGCAAGGGATTTTTTTAGTTATCCGCGGCGGGAAATTGAATTATTACTACGGATAATATTAGAACTTTTTTGCTTCTAATTGTGGTGAAAAATTGTTGTCTTTTCAAACAGAATTTTGCAAAATTAAAATAACATATTATGGAAAATCAAAAAGTTAACAACGACATAAACACACACACACACACACAGAGAGAGAGAGAGAGAGAGAGAGAGAGAGAGAGAGAAATAATTAGCAGATTTTTAACACAAAAACTAATTCAGACCCAAAGAATTTTTTAAACCTTTTCTAATTCTTGGATTTTTTTAGCCTTAGCGTGAATTAATTTTTGCTGATAATTCTTAATTAGTTCATCCATTTGTATTTCGTATTTCCGCTTCTGGTCAGTAAAAAGATTTGTTCCTTTTTTGCTGCTTTTGCTGTTGATTGAACTACTTATTTCTTTACGAATGTCTTGGCGAACTAGCCGGAAAGCCGTTTTTCCTTCTTCGGTTATAACCTTAACATCGCGAATGAGTTTTTCGCGAGTTTCTCCACTGGACGATAAAGTAAAATAAGCCTCCTTTTTGGTGCTTCCAGCAAGTTTATATCCTTGCTGTTTAACCACTTCAATAATTAAAGAAACAAATTTAGATTCAAAGGTCTGAATGACCAATTCATTACTCGGAGAAATTCGGAAATTGGCTAGGGTTTTTAACGGTTTTCTTTCGCCTTGATAATTTATGGTTAGTCCTCTAATCATTTCTAGGGAAATTTGATTACTCCGAATTTTCTCTAACTTCCCAACAAAAACACGTAATTCTTTTTCTAATTGTTGGTTGGCTTTTTCCTTAATAACTTCTCAATTATTTTCCATAAATAGGGTTAAAATTAATTTTAATGATTATTATACTATGCGAAAAAAAATTAGTTCTTTATTCAACCAAATCTCTTGAATACTAGGGGCTACAACAAATTAGGCTTGTAATATACTTACTGATAACACGGGAAAGCATTACAGTAATAAAAATCAGATGACAGTATTTTTTTTGCTAATTTTCCTTAAATGCCGTGAGTTTTTAGCAAATTAGACTGCTATCAGTTATGAGAATTGTAATAGTTTTTTGCAGTTTAATAATCCTTTAGTTTAGTTTTCATATTTCGTAAATCGTTATTCCTAAATTCCAGGAGGAGATAGGTATAATAACCAACACTAAGTATGCCCTAGCACTTGCCGCGGTTCGACCTGGAATTTAGGAATTTTTAAAATATTTTTCACTTTTTAGACGGCAAACAATCCTTCCCGATTTTTTTCGTCGTTCAGGAAGTATTCTTCATAAGTTTTTACGATATTGTCCGTTTTCGGTCCGGTATAAACAATGCGACCATTTCTAATCATGGTAATATCGTCGGCTAGTTCTTGTAAGTCGGATAAAATGTGGGTAGAAATAAGCACGGTTCCGCCAGCTTCGCGAAATTTTTTCAAGTCGCGAACTAAACGCAGTCAAGCGGTCATGTCTAGACCATTACGAACTTCGTCGAGAATTAAAACTTTGGGGTGATACAAGAATAAGGAAAAAATTTGGGTGAATTTTTTTCAGCCGGTTGAGAGTTCCGTACATTTTTGAGCAGCAAATTGGAATAAAGGCGAAGCAGCGAATCTTTCTTCGGCTTGGTCTAGTGGAACATCCCGTAAATAACTACAAACACCGACATATTTTTCAACCGCAAAGTCGGGTGGAAATTTTACTTCGGCTGGCACCACTGAGCCCAGATGCTCATTGAAATAGGGGTCGTTGGTTACTGACCGACCTTCAATGTAAGCATTTCCGTAACTTGGGAGAACAAGACCAACCAGAATGCCTAACGTAGTTGATTTGCCAGCCCCGTTGGGACCAATAAAACCGTGGATAGTCCCCGGACGCACAGCAAAAGAAACTTGGTCCAAGACTTTCTTATTACCGTAAAATTTGGTTAGGTTAATGACTTCGATAGCCTTTGGTGCGGAGGAATTCATTTTTAGTATTTTTATTATTAATTATATTATTACAAAGTCAGAATCAAATGTCAATATTTTAAACCTCCGACCCCTTAATTATTACTAAGGATTAAAAGGAATGATTTATTAACCTAGTAATGTTTTTTTTATTATTGAACTTTCTCAATTTAAAAAATAAGAGAAATTTGAACGACTGGAATTTTTGTAGCGAAAGTTGTCATTTTTCACTTGCAAGAGATTTTGCTTGGCTAAAAAGTGAATTACGGGTAAACAAGAATTCTTGTATTATTCGTCGTCTGCCAA